AAAAACTGTGGAAGTGATTATTAGTTTTTAACATCAAGTGATAGGGACAAGGTAAGAAGCACATGAATGTGCTTATATTGTATGGTATTTGAATTTACATTGAAAATCAGTGCCTAATAGAGCAACAAATGTTCAGGTGATGTTCACATTTTAAAGATTATTTCTTCTTTAGGGTAATAGTTATCAAAAGGAGAAATCTTTTACTATATATATTTTTAAAGATTTTATTTATTTATTTATTTGAGAAAGAGAGAGCACGTGCGTACAAGTGAGGGGAGGGAGAGAGGGAGAGGGAGAAACAGAATCCCCACTGAGCATAGAGCCCAGTGGACCTGGGGTTCCACTGACCCTGGGATCCTGAGATTATGACCTGAATGCAAGTCAGACACTTAACTGACTGAGCCACACAGGCACCCCCACAATATCTTTTTAATATTTGATGACCAATTGGAAGGAATGTTACAACGTAGACCTTTTCTTTTCTCATGTATATTGGCTACAGTATAGATTAAAGTAGCACCAAGTGCTCTAACATATAATATCAAAAATTCGAAAGAATTTTTTTGTTTACTGGAGTCTAATGCTGGTGTGTTCTTACTGTAGATCTTTTCTGTGTTTGGGTGATTCACACACACATGCATGCACACATTCTGTAACATGGAAGTACACTATTATGTATGAAAACCACTTCTATTTTGTGTCTATGTGCTGTCTAAGACCTAAACATCCTCTGCAAACAGCTTTGGGAAAGGTAAACAGAGCATGGAGAAGGTATATATATACTTGAAATTATTGGCAACAAATGACAAGCATCACTTTTACTTGCATTTTATTCTCAGATCTCATGTGAGAATCAGTCATATCACCATACTTTCACACAAAGGCTGAGAAATGTAGCCTTTAGCTGAAGAGTGCCTTTCTGCACTCAACTCTATACCATGGAGAGGGGAGAGGAGTGTTGATAGAAAGCTTCAGCCAGTGCACATGGGATGGAAAGACTCTTAAAGTCCAGTCTCTTAGAGAGTAGGATTTAGTCTTCCCTGCAATACTCCTCACAGCTGGCTGTCTAACCTGGTATGAAGTATATCTAGTGTTTTGAAAGGAATCAGTTATTGAAAAATCTTCCTAATATATTGTCAAGACTCTACTATGCATCAGTATTGTGGTCTCCTTGGTTTTGGACACACACTAAATTTTATGTGTCTTTGAGATGTGGGCCTAGTATCATACCTAGTACTCAGTTCTCAGTATTTGTTATGGTTAGGAGAGTTTTATCATTTCCACCCTGGTTTGGGGTATTATACTTTTGTTAATACAATATGAGCTGCAATTGTTTTCTTGGAGAACTATCAGTGTTCATCTTGAGTTTGTGAGTCAAAGGTCCTTTCATATAAATTATGCCCCACATATTTACCCCATGACGTTCATGTATTTAGCAAATGCTTTATTCTTCTGGTTAACATATTCACCCCTGGACTTCTGCCTCAGCTGCTAAAGCTTCTCTGACATTTTTTAGCACTATGTTCTTACCTTTTGGAGAAGCCATAAATAAGCATGCTGTGAAAAGTGGCTGAGGCTACAGGTCACCGACTTCCTATATTTAATTTTTGCCGTAACTTCCATGATTTGATATGGCTCTTCCAGTTTTCATAATGATGCTTCAAGAGTGGATTTTATCTATAAACCTAGTTCAGTCTGAAAAACCAAATCCCATACATTTTGTTTTTATGTTTGCTTTTGTTGTTTTATTTTTATAATGAACAAAAGTGAAACTTATTTTATTTTCCAGGATTTTATAGTTAGTTCATGATTATTACTATATAAATATGTATGGCAAGGAAAGGAAGTAAAAATTGCCTAAAATATCAACGTCTGGAAATAAGTACCTACAGTACTTTGATGACCAATCTTTTGTAAATTCTCTCTGTGTAAATACGTATACATAACATGCTCGTACTGATGTAGTTAGGTCAATATTCTAAGCATCATCTTTTCGATGACTTTTATCATTTTCATGTTTTTTTCAATTGTTGATCATGAGGCTACTTTATTCTCTTCCACTTCCTTTCCTGCTACAGTAAAGATTCCTGTATAGATATTCTTTCCTTGTAATGCATTTTTGTCAGTGGGCTTGAAGCTGCATTTGGAATTATGGTTTGGTTGCCAGTTTGTTTTCTCTCTTCTTTGTTTTGGAGATGATCTAGAAATGTGCAGATCAGATCCTACATTCTTTTTTCATGATAAGTTCATTTTATGAAGAAGAGTTGGGGCACTAGCTTTTTACTAGAATTGATACGTTATTCTTCTATATATTTATCCAGTTTGGTGGAAAAGATGACTTTCTGTTGGAGACCTCACTTCACACATGCAATTTATATATTAGAGTTTTGCAGAAATGTTTTTTTAAAGTTTTTTTTTATTTATTTGACAGAGAGAGACACAGCGAGAGAGGGAACACAAGCAGGGGGAGTGGGAGAGGGAGAAGCAGGCTTCCCTCTGAGCAGGGAGCCAGACGTGGGGCTCGATCCCAGAACCCTGGGATCATGACCTGAGCCTAAGGCAGATGCTTAATGACTGAGCCACCCAGGTGCCCCATGCAGAAATGTTTTTTAAGGATTATGAAGCCTATTTCACATGACATGGCCTTGTCTAAGAAAAGGCTTTTCTTCAAAGTCTTATTTAAATTTAAATACCTGTAGTATTTTAAGACCTATCAAAATAAAATAACATCCCAGTCCAAAGAAAATGCTGTTTGTTTGATAACTAGCTTTAGTACCTCTATATTAAGTATTAATTTCTCTTTGAAAAAATGCTCTTAAACTTCTGATTCACAATTTATTTTATAATTTTTCAGAGATTGCTATTTACTTAATTATTTAGTAGTTTTTATAGCACATCATCTTTATCTATGAAAAATGTCCATATCCCTCTTCATTCTTACCTATCTTGTTGCTGAGAATATAAGAGATGTGTTTTGGAAAGGACAGTGTTGCTGAACTCATCGGCCATATTTTTGCCTTTATGGCACCATCCATTTGTTTATATTGAATGCCTAACTCACTATAGGTGTGTACTCATAAAGACATTGGGACTATAATAGTGAGTAAAATAGACATACTATTTCATCTTAGGAAAACTTGCAGTTTAATGAGAAGATAACTATTAAAGAAATACATATGCAAATAAAAGTAAAGTTACAACCAACATAGATGGCAGAAGAGGTGTGGTGAGTGACATTGCCTAAGAGATTAGTTGACTACATTGATCAAGTGGCTGCTTCAAGGAAGGTTTCCTTGAGAGTTGAGCTGAGAGCTCTATGATAAGGGAAGAGATCATGTAGAAAAGGCAGAGATAGGAAGGATCATGTCACAATTGAGTAAGTTTAATAATGCCATTTAAGAGTTTTTGGTCTTTATTCTAACAGAAGTGTAGTGCCAATACACAGTGGGGTGATGTGATCTAAATCACATTTAGAAGGCATCTGTGTAGTTGTAATTTGGAGGAAAAATGTAGAAGGCAAAAAGAAGTTTAGGTTCCTAGTTGGTAGGCTTTTGCAAGGATCCCATTTGCAAAAAATGGTAGTTTAGTTGAGGTGGTTGTGGTAGTAGAGATGAAGAGAGGTAGATGCATTCTACAGATATTTGGTGGGAAGAATTGAAAAGGTTTGATGACTAATGTATTAAATATTTGCAAATACAGGAGAGGAAAGAATCTACGATGATGCCTAAGTTTTTGGGTAACCAGACACCGTGGAATTTGGTGCCATTTGGTGAGAGGTGCAAAATGGAGAGGACCAGTTTTTGAGAGAAAGGTCATAGGTTTGGTTTGGAGCAATTGAAGAGATCAGTTGTCCAGGTAGATGTGACATTCTGGAATTATACAGTACTTCAGTTTAAGATAGTAGGTAGTTTCTTTGAATATTATTTTAAAGTTTATGATTTTTTTAAAACTAGAATTTTAGAAAGTTTATTGCTCTTTATTATTATTTAACATATTACCAAAAAGAAATAACTTAAAGATTTAAAAATACACTTGATATTTTATGGGACTCCTCTAATACTTCATAACTATAAAGAGCGACTAGGTTTTGTTCTGTCCTGTTATTTTTTTTATTTGCAATTTTTGGGCAGCATAATGTAACTATTCTCATTGTTTCATGAGTAGATTATATTGCTGTGAATGATCTCTCATTTGAATCAGCTGTATGCAAAATAATGTAGACAATGGTAGGGTATAAAGAATTAAAAATTATAACTAGTGGGGGCACCTGGCTGGCTCAGTCAGGAGAGCATGTGACTTAATCTTGGGGTAGTAGGTTCAACCTTATGTTGGGTGTGGAGTGTATTTAAAAAAAAATTATAACTAGTAGCTACATTAGAAGTGTATGGTGTTTTTTTGCAGAGTAGAAATAATTTTTAACATCAGGGATGATATGATTTTTAGGAGATATTTAAGGACAGTCACTCTGTTCTGCATAATGTTTTATGCTAACCTTAGTACGGATTTTCTTGGTAGTATAATGTTTTATACAAACCTGAATCTGAAATATTAATGTGCTCTATGAGTTACTCACTTTATTCTATTTATACTGTTGACTTTGTATTGCCAAAATATTAGCAGTGTTAAAAATAATGAAATCTTTGAGTTTATGGAAGACCTTTAAGTGACTTTTCAGTGGAGAATTGACATGTAAATGGTTTGAAGTTTTCCTGTCTTGCCATAATCACTCTTTAGATAAGGGCCTATTATCTTTTCTTTCCTTATTAACATGAGAATAAAAACAAAATTAGAAAAGGTTTAGAAATAAACCATTTTCTATTCCTGGAATAGAAGTGGATATTATCAAAAAGAAAACTGAAACAATATAAAGCTTTTCTAATTTCAATTTTGATATTTTATTGCCTTTTAATGCAGCATTATTTAAATATTTCCAACTTCAGTTGAAATTTTAAAATGAATGCTTTTTTCATGTTTTTAAAAACTAATATTTTTTTTTATAGGTCTCATATCTTTTGGGTGAACAGAAGTCTACCTTTATGGGGCTTACAGGTTATGTACAATTTTGTTTTACCCCTCTATTTCTGGATTTATTCTTATTTCATAGATGAGTACTATTGGAGAGAAAACTGTTATATTAAAAATGAGTTTGTTTTATTGCTTATTAATCTTGATGCATGTCTTAGACAACTGTTTTTTTCCCCCTATCTTCATGTTTGCCTGAGCCCTGCATTCTACTTTTTGAGAATTTCCTTCTGATCAGGATTAGACTTCAGAAAGCTTTTGAGGGTGTGGAGAAAAAAAGAGTAAACCAGTGTGTTAAGGCACCACAAGTTCCCCAAATGACTCTAGGTATTCATCTTATGTAATCCTTGAAAAATTAATCAAAAGCCCATAACCATGTTTGCTCTTTTACTATATCTGCAGTGTCTGGAACATGGTAGAATCTCAATAAATAATTATTAAATGCATTAAACAAGTGAATGAATGGCTCATATTACCAAGAGCAAGAGCTTGGTCCCTAAACAGATAATTTTGTAAATAAAACAAAAAGTATGTTCTGGCATAAAAGGAGTCCTGAGGAAAGAGTAAGAAAATATGAGAGGGAACATGTCTGAATTATATTGTTGGGGTGTTCCCTAGAGTCCTCTATACCTCTTCTTTGCTCCTTTTTCTGTTGAATTTTATGCCCAGCAAACTTTTTACATGTTCCTATCTCTACTCCTGTCTCTTTCTTACAGATACTTTTTATTTTGTTATTTTTCAAAAGTAAGTTATTTAAAGAATACAGTCACTAAGATAAAAAGGTCAAAAGTTACTGCTTGGAAGACAGTTGAATAATGGAAGTAATGGAAAGACTCTAAAACTGACTGTTTATAAACAGCCTTTAAAATACTTTAAAATCAAGTGTTTGGTTTGTTTTTTAAAGTCATGAGGATTGTGAAGTCTGTACATTTTAAATGTTATAATGGATTATTTTAATTATGTATGCATTGTAATCATAACAATGAAATCAAGTTTTTACTATGTCTGGATATTTCATACTTTTTTGAAGTCAAGTTGCATTTAATTTTTTTATACTGATTTGCATTGCAATGTTGTTAATTACAAATACCCTTTCAAATATTTAAGTGTTCACAAAAAATGCAGTCTTTTAATTTCTAGCTTGATTCCTATATTATTTTTCAGTGAGATACACATTTAAAGTAAGTTAATATTTTTAAGAATAGTCATATATTGCCTTGAAATACATTTTGATCTATTCAAATTGGTTTTATCTGATAATGATATTTTACAATAATAATAATGTTCATTTTCAAGTAGGATTTTGAGTAATCCATGCTACAAATGTTCTAGAGACCCTCTAACCCTACTTACAGAAAAAAAGCATGAATGATTATGATTTAAATGACTTGTGGAGAGCATCTAAGAGGTGTGCATTTTATATCAGAACAATGCCTGGCTTCCATATGTACTTCTGAACATATTTTAATTATATTGCCATGCATTCATATGCTTCTTTATTGTCCTTCTGTTTTAATATTCACTTGAGTCAAAGTTTTCATTCCAACAGGAGTTAAAATTTAAAATTCCAGGGTATCTGCCTTTCTTATGCAGATTGTCTTAAGTCTCAAAATCTGTAAACAAATATATTTGTTATCTATAGAGTCATTTCTTGTTTATGCTTGCTTATTTTGCTTCTATTCACCTACCCCAAAGTGCTGAGAGTACTTAATACAAAATAATTTGGATATTTTTTCTAGTTACCTTTTCTGTTGCAATCATAGCTTTTTGGTAGTTCAGCAGCAGAAATTGTATATATATTAGCAAATGTAGAGAAAGTGGAAGCTTGTCTAGGACATGCTCTTCCAGCTGTGAAAGAGGAATTGTTTATGAAGTCCATTCAAATAAAATCTCAAAGTATCTGGAAGTGTTGACCTGGACTATTTTATTTAGTGTTAAGGATGTTGCTGTTTCATTTTGTTTGAGGCGGGTGAGAGAGAGATGTATCTCTCAACTCGAAGCTTACATTCTTTTATTTTCTGAAAGGAACTGCTGTCTTTGGTAGATGTTCTAGAGGTGGTGGAGCTGTTGTTGGGAGAGGGTAGTATTTGTGCTGGGGCAGCTATGTGTGATTGTGCATATTAGGAACATACACAAAAGAACATTCTCTACATACCATATAAACTCCAGCCAGTCTGACTATTCTAATCCCACATTTATATTTGAGATAATAAAAAATATTTATTAATGAGTATTAGAAATATAAAACTAACTTGTAGAGCAAACTGCCACCTGTATAGAGAAGTTACAGTGCCACATAATACCTCCTTATATGTATATCTGTATATTATACAAATACATACATACATAGACACATATTTACATAAAGTTAATAGTTTTATAATCATGAATATATTTTTAAAATTCTGTTGCATTTTCTCATTGAGGTACAATTTTTTTTCAGGTTTCAGTGGCATTGATAAGTTTATTTGAAACAATACTACTTGGTTATCTCAGTTATAAGGTAAGTTATTTTAATTAGAAGTTTTTGGTTGACAGAACACATTACTAGCATTAACCCAGTATTCCTCTATTTATAATTTATACTCTGGGGTAAAGCAAGTCCTTCTTAAACTTCTTTAATTATTTTGGGCCTCTGTGGTATGTGATAAAAATCTGTAGTTGTATAGTAATGTTTGCCTGGGTGGCTTAAAAATATTTCACTAATTCCTCTGGGTTAACTTACCTATGATATACATGCTTATGTGAGGCAAGCAAATGGAATGATCTTGCTTTTAATTGTTCTTAACCTCTTTTCCTGATCTGTACAAAAAACATTGAGGGAGCAAAAACATATCTGTTAGGAATTATTTTAATGGATTATTTAATCTTTGGTGAGACTTTGTCTGGCTAACACAATTTAACAAATATTTATTGAGTCTGTATTTGATGAAGAGCCCCATACTGTGCATTGTTCTTTTCTCAATGAGTTTCCATCTAGAAAGGGGGATAAGCAAGAGAAAATTATGCAGATAATAATAATACAAAACAGAACAGTAGGTACTTCCAGTGAGCTGCAAATCATGTCCCATGGGGGTAGAGAGATGTCATATCATAGGATGAAAATACTTGACTGATTTAAGCAGAGCAGAGTCCTTGAATCAGTGATTTCAATAAGGAAAGATGAAAAGATAAGACACTAGGGATTTATAGAATTAACAAAAGCATAAAAGAAGTCATGTGCATATAAAATTGGAAGAATAATAAATATTTAAGTTTGGGCAGAATTTTGGGGGGCATCTGAAAAAATATTGGTTGGGAAAATTTGGCACAGTATTGTGAGGGCCTTGTATAGCAACATATAATGGGAATTTGATGGAGGATGTTGAACATGAGAGTTCTATAATTGTAATTAAGTTTTAGTATTAGTTCAGAACATCTGTGCAGCACAGGTCAGAGAGACATCATACTGAGAACCATGTGCTAAATTAAGACACAATTACAGAAAGGAAAACTGGGAGTGAGTTTTTGGCTGGGTGAATGGAATAGACAGAGTTGACACAAGATGAAATATAAAGTTAGAAACTAAAGAAATCATCACCTGATTTGTTGAGAAAGTTGAGGAAAAGGCAAAGGCAAATATCACTTCAACATTTTCTAAATTCACATGACTGGGAACATGGCAGTAAAACTAAGAAAAATTATATCAAGAAAAAATCAGATTGGGGTCAGGATAGATAGAATAATGGAAATGGATTTGGAAATAATGAATTTGAGGTGCTTATGGATAGATAGGTAGACATGACATGTGGACAACTAAAAATGAGAATCTGGAACATGCAGGGAAGAGAGATTTAAGATGTGGAGGTCATTTTCACAGAGATGGTGGAGGAAGCATGCAAGTCTATTAAGTATGGGATAATAGCCAAGGAAGAAGCTAAGGCTCATTTGATGGAGATGCTTATACTGTGGTTGTTGGAAGAAAGACAGAGTAATCAGAGAAGACAGAGACATAGAAAAGAAGGGTAGAAAGACTTTGGAATGGCTATCATATCCATCACTAACCTTCAGTTTATGTTGTCGGCATTTACTATATCAACAAGTGTACTCAAGGTTATGTTTTTGGGGAACTCTTATTTAGCATATCAACTTCTTTCTCACTTTTTAAGACATAGGGTTTATTTATTTATTTATTTATTTGACAGAGAGAGACACAGAGAGAGAGGGAACACAAGCAGGGGAGTGGGAGAGGGAGAAGCAGGCTTCCCGCTGAACAGAGAGCCCGATGTGGGGCTTGATCCCAGGACCCTGGGACTACGACCTGAGCTGAAGGCAGACGCTTAATGACTGAGCTACCCAGGCACCCCAGACATAGGGTTTTGAAGATAACATTTCTTAGACTACTTTTAATCCTAAATTTAGAGCAAGAAATCTTTACAAACTCACCTTTTCCGCTGGGTTTATTAAAAAAAAAATCTCCTTAACTCCATCTGAAGAAAATAATGCTAATATCTAATGAGGTGAGATTGATGAATTAGAAAGTATAGAAAGAAAAGAATGTGGGCTTTCCAAAAAATATAGATGGGTTGATTTAATATTTGTGAGAAAAAAATAGGATGTTAGAAATTCTAAGGAAGAAATGTGTTATCTGAAAGGCTGAAAGGGTTGGAACTACAAGTTTATTAAGGAGCTTGAGAAGAGGCTATTGAATTTACAGTTTAGGAGATCATTTGCTATTCACTTGTAAGAAACCAATTTCAGTGGTGTACAATTGGGAGTAAAAGTGTTAAATGAAGAATGTTGATTGACTGGGGTAGGGTCACTACCCTAGAAGTGGTCTAATGGGGCAGAGAAGATTGACCAATGATGGAAAAAAATTTGCATCCTTTACAGAAAGTAGGTAGAGGGGACTAAGAAAAATGATAGATGAAGCAAGTTTTATACAAAATAATAAGTTGGAGTAGGAAACTGAGGCCTACTGATATGCTTTGGATACATTCCATTCTTTTCTGAGAGCACAGAAGATGGAAAATTGTGCATGAAAGAATATTTTGAAGCTAGAGAAGAGAAGTTGAAAGACCTTACATGTAGGTAGTCACTCATCCTTGTATTACCTGGGAAGTACTCACTCAGTGATGAACAGTATAGACTAATATGTTGAGGAAGATCTTTCAATGATTTATGAGTTTATCTCTTCATTGAAATAGGTGCTCAATTAATGTATATAGATTGACAAATCTAGATTTTGGATACCTAGAAGAGCGAAATAATAATCAAATGAATTAATATCCAAGATTTTATCTTCTAAGTTACTTAGTATTCAAGTAGGTGATGAAAGTTGAAAGTAATAAAAACAAAATGACATGCTAAAAAATTAGGCACGTGGGTGTTTTTGGTAAATAATTAAATCTCTTCCACTAGTACAAGAGTGTGTATAGATATTTAAGAGATCAAAATATTAATCTGCATTTTTGAGTGTATTTGCTTTAAATTCTAGCCAAAAAGTAATATGAAATTAACTTTGGTGCTTAGTGGAACTCTTAGCCCTAATTTAAAAATCATTTAAAAAACACAGATTCAAGACAATTTTCTTGTAATCATATGATATTGACATTTGTAATTAATTACTTCCTGCCATTTATAAAACGAGAGCAAAGCATTATGAGACCTAGTAGCATTATAAGAGCTAGATGATATATAATATTTCCATTCTGACCTTCATAAACATTAATGGCTTAGATGGAGGAGAGGTAGATGGTAGTTGAGTTTGTGTGTTTCAAAGGAAACAAAGGATATAAAGGAATTATGTGACATTGGAAGGATAGGTTTCTGGTAATTACCTTCTTTTTCCTCTCATAAATTCAGTCAAACTCATGGACTCTTTTGACCCACTCCAATAGACTGCTGGATAAAATATTTGGAATGAATAAATTAAATAATTGATAACTTTTTATGGCCTATAATTAAGGCAAATTTGGATAGCAGAAACTCAAATGAGCTCCTCCTCTCAAATTAGATTTTTTTTTTCAAATTAGATTTTTAAGAAAAATTATAGAGAGGTAAGCAGAAATGGATATTGCATTAGCAACTGTATATATCCCTAATATTGTTCTTTGATATGTTAAGTTCTGAACTATCAACATAATAGCAAATCAATATTTATATTTGTTTACATATATGTACAGATAATGTGCATATTTGTATGTATTATATACATATATATACAATATTTAAAAACAAATTTAATACAGTATTCTGTAAGCACTTTATAATTCTTGAAATTAAACATTCTAAAATAAGTGTGATGACTTCATCCTTAACTAAACAGCTTAAACTATTGTGGAGACTGCAGGTTTTGAAAAACAAAGACTGATGAATAAAACCTAAATAAGCAAAAACTCTATAAAGTGCATGTTGAGGTTAGATAATGATTTAAAAATCCCTGACATCAACTTATTTAGTCCTCTATCCTACAGAAGTGCAGGTCTGTACTTAAATCATCATTCCATTCATGTTTATAGCTACTTGGCAGAACAACCATGGGATCGCCCAGCAGTAAAGTTCTTATTCTTCTGTTACCATAAATACCCTCTATGTCTTTATCAACTGCTTTCAAAATAGAACTCTATTTATACACACACATTCATTAAATCAAAAGGAAACGAAAACAAACTCCAGCATAATTTCCAAAATTCTGCAAACAAAAATCCAACATACCTAGAAGGCTTCTGTTAAATCTACAGTTCTTTTTTCTATAATCACTTTATAAAAAGCAACAGTTTTGAAATTTTAACACCATGATGGGCTCCTTTCTGGCAAAGAACAAAGGATTTGACTAGAACTCCTAGACACTCCTAGATCCTGGTGTTTCTTTCTTTTTTTTTTTTTTCCTAAGATTTTATTTTAGAGAGAGATTGTGAGTGAGAGCAGGACTAGGGGCAGAGGGGGAGGGAGAGGGACAAGCAGACTCCGCACAGAGCCCCATGACCCTGAGGTCGTGACCCAAGCCAGCGGAAATCAAGTCAGTAGCTTAATGGACTGAGCCACCTAGGTGTTCCAATACTGGTGATTCTGCTTACGAAGCCATGGAAGTGGTGAATCTAATTATTGTTCAGTTTACATTTAGCTATACAAAATAAGACTGCCTTAGGGATACTAAACTATTTTAAATTCACTAAAGAAAATAAGTTATCAGCCTTTTTAGTTACATATTTACATACAGGTATTTTTAATATTGAAGAAGAAAGTGTTTTTAAAAAGTCCCAGGGTACATCTTAGTCTAACAACAATATTACCATACATCTTATAATTTTTTAAGTGCATTTTGGAGGTACATACGTAATTGTACAGTTATAAACTTCCATTTTTCTTTATGATAAAAATAAAAGCCTGATACATTTTAGAAAGTTACCCATTTTCCTGCATTTTTATTGATTAAGGAAAGTTATATCCATAACAAATGTTGTAAAATGGTTGGATTAATTTATTTATACTTTATTGAATTCTGTAAGAGAAACGTAGTTCTACACACTCAGAACAGATAAAGCTACCTAAAAAATTTCTTTTTTTTAAGATTTTTTTTATTTGACAGAGTGAGAAAGCACAACCAGGGGGAGCAATAGAGGCAGAAACGCTGAGCAGGGAGTCTGGCATGGGGATCCATCGCAGGACCCTGGGATCATGACCTGAGCCAAAGGCAGGGGCCCAACCAACTGAGCCAACCCACTGAGCCACCACCCCAGAAATTTCTTTTTCTTTAGGAAGTTACCTGTTGGGGGTGCCTGGCTGACTCAGTCAATAGAATATGTGACTTTTAATCTCAGAATCATGAATTCAAGCCCCACTTTGGGCATGGAGCTTAATGAAGAATGAATGAATGAATGAATGAATGAATGAATAAATAAATAAATAAATACCCTTTTGGAAAAAGCCATGCCTTTTATCTCCTTTGTGAAAATAAGATGAAATGAAATAAGTATTTAACATAATTTTGAAGGGCACTTTGGATTTTATTTTATGCTTCTCTATAATGCCTTCTACGGGTACATGCTGTTTTCCTCATGATAATTGTTTTTATCATGTAGATTTATATAATGTAGGCTCATAGTTACTCCCTAACACTCAGTGGAACTTATGAATACTTTCTATGTTTATTTTTCATTAGCTAATTTTAGGGGAGATATTTATTAATGTATCTTTAAGTTCAGGAGACAACCTGAGATCTTAGAATCAAATGTAATGAATACAATAAGAAGGTATTCATTTATTTTTAGCAATGAGTATATTGCCTCATTGTATAATTTTAGATAATGAAAATTAGCCCTCAGTGGGAAGTTCATTCATTTTCAGGGGATTGGCACATTAGGTGTACCTTTAGAAAAAAAAAAAATCCAGATGATATGGTAGGTGAATTGGAATGGGGCAAGAATGAAGGGAAGGAGACTAGCTAGGAGCCTCAACCAGGTCAAAGAGTGGGAATGAGGTAGAATGAGAAGGAGGGAAACTCAAGACCTATTTATGATTCAGAAGATTTTTTTTTAAAAAATCTTATTTATTTGAGAAAGAGAGAGCACGTGCACAAGTCAGGGAAGGGGGAGAGGAAGAGGGACAAGCAGACTCCCCACTGAGCAGGGAGCCCAACACGGGGCTCCAACCCAGGAGCCAGGGATCATGACTTGAGCCTAAGGCAGATGCTTAACCAACTGAGCCACCCAGGGATCCCATGAATTAGGAGATCTTATTGACCAGTTATCCTTAGGTATCTGGTAGAAGGAAGATATGAATAGTTTCTCCAGGATTTTTGGTTTGTGTTGCTGGGGAACCAACCAGGCAAAAATCATAAATTATACTTTTTGACATAATCCACACAAGGTGCCTTTGAGGCATTTGCGTGAAGCAATGCATTAGGTACTGGAGATGAAACAGAATCTCAGAGATGCAATACTGATCTGGACTAGAGATACAGCATTGGAAGTCATTGGTTTATTATTGATGATAAGTTGAAGTTGAAACATAGATGAAATTACCTGAGATGGGTATGTAGCCAAGTACTCCTAAAATGCTTTCCTGCAGAAACTTTCTACTTGAACTTTGTGGTTACAAGTGAAACAACTTATATGTAACGATATTCAGATAGGCTTAAAACAATAAAATTCTTTTAAGTGTTTCCATTTGGATTCAATAGAAAGAAATGTAAATACTTAAGTTCAAAAACAAAATAATTATACCAAGAAGGGGGAAAGTATGTATAAAATATTTGGAAGTTTAATTTACTCATTATTTTTTTTAAGATTTTATTTATTTATTTGACAGAGGGAGAGAGAGAGAGCACAAGCAGGGGGAATGGCAGGCAGAGGCAGAGGGAGAAGCAGGCTGCCCACTGAGCAGGGAGCCCGACACCAGGCGATCCCAGGACCCTGGGATCATGACCTGAGCCGAAGGCAGACGCTTAACCAACTGAGCCATCCAGGCGCCCCTAATTTACTCATTAACATACTTCTTGAGCCCTAACAGGCATAGAAACAAGCAGGTCTATAAAACATTATAAACACTTGTCCAGGAGATTAGTGGTGAAGGCATGGGGAGTGGGGTGTTCCAAGCAGCGGGAGAAGTGTGAGCAAAGTTATAAAAGTATGAAATAGCCTGCTCAGAGAACTGTATAAAATTCAGTATGGATGAATCTGTGGCTGAATTCAAGATGGAAACAGAAGTATAGTAGGTACAAACCAAACCAGTAACCAGAGTCCAGATTATGAGCCTTCATGTAATCTGAAGAGTAGTTTGGATGTCATTATGTTGGCAATGGCATTTTGGAAAGAACTTTTTTGCTTTATTATAGAAGATAAATCAGAAATTAACCAAATTAAGTCAGATACCAGTTATGAGACTCTTTTAATTGTTTGAGAAAAAAATCATGAAATAAAGTTGATGTATTACAAATGGAAATGAAGAGAGTCATCAGAGATATATGATGTTTTTGTTCACTATGAATTAAATTTGTCCAGTGTCTCACAGCAAAGAAAACTAATATTAATCTTGCTCTGCATTAATAGAGATATCCTGCCATATCATCAGTGGTAACTGTTTCCAGACTGTTCCTTCTCTGGCTGGTCACATCAGTCTCTTTCCTAGGAACAATCATTGACACCAAAGAGAGAGGTACAGTCACCAGTAAAAACACACCAAGGACAGAATAGGCCAAATGTTAAGCCTTCTGGAAACTGAGTCATGTAAAAAAACTGGTGAATGAAATGGCAATATTAACTTGCACACACACACACGCACACACACACACAATCAGTTACAACTGCTTTATCGAACAAGCTTGACTCAGTGCAAGTAGGAAAGGCCTTTAGTCCCCCAACACTTTTTTTTTTTAAAGATTTTATTTCCCCAACACTTTTCCAAATGCACACATCCTCTTGATCCATGCTGATCAGATGATATGTTGTAAAGGTCCCAGAACTTTTGTAGTCTCTCCAATCACAAGGCAAATTTCAGTTTAGTATTCAGGAAACTATGCTCAATATATATAAACATTTAAAATTTTCATCCACTTTAATACTTCAGCTTATCCTCAGCTCAGACCTGCATGAGACGGGGAATCATTGTGAGGTTATCTGTTATTCCCACTTCCTCTCTTACTTGATGCTGCTGATTCTGGTCCCTTCGGGGCTGAGGAGGCACAGGGAGTGAGGTGAAGTCAGCCTTTGGGATGAAGGTGCCTGATAGCACAAGTGTAGTCTGGTGTTGGTTTGTTCTGCATGGCAAATACAAGTAGGGCTTTTGCAGTCTTCTGCAGGCTTTTGACTGAAGCTCCTTGGATGCCTCAGTGCCTCTGACTGGCCACTAGGGCTCTGACCCAAGCCCTGACACTCTGAGGTCCACCATTTGTTGAGGTCTTGTTTCCCCTTCAGGCACACAGCCATCCTGAGTGTAAACTCCTTTAAAATGGCCATAGATTTTATTCTTTAGAGTCTATGTCTCGTTCCCAGAAAACAAGTACCTTTGTCTTAGAATTGGCATCATCGTGGCTTGCTCTCATTTCAACCCTCTGTTCTTGTTGCACTGTTGTCTCTTCATGTTTAGATGTTTTGGACATGAGCCAAATACAGCCTCTACATGTGAGCCAAGCTCCCTAAGTGGTTCTCTTGATCCCTTCTCACTTAGCCTGAAGTGATGAGAGAAGCACCCAAGTGCCACTAACATCCCTGTATGGAGGCCTTCTCTTTGCTTCCATTTTTTTTCTACCTGCTCCCCCTACCACTTTCTGTACAACCTGGAGATGGTGATGAATGAAATACAGTAAAACTTGTTACTTAATATTTGAGTACATGGACATTAGCCAGTATAGAACCTTGCTTTGTGATGTGGTAGTATCTTATATTACTGTGATGTTTTAAGCCTTTGGGACCTCAAGGAAATATTAAGAAAGGCTCCTAACTTTGAAGCCACTGTTATAAAATAATTGGAAAATACAGGGACCCAGATTTCAAATTACCTTTCTAATATGGAGATCTCTTCATAGAAGAATAAGCTGCTTTAGGAAGTCCTGAGTTTTTTTTTCCCCCCATTGGACACCATTTAAGAAAGTGTCAGTGATTAACCTGTTTATATCGGGGCAGCATCATGGTTGTGTTGTATGCATTTGCACAAGGCTATACATTTAGAAGGGCCTGTGCTTATTTTAATATTCTTCTCTCACCTTCTGGAAATTGTTAATAATTTGTTAATAGGAAGCCCGGAATTTTCATTTTGCACTAGGACACAAAAATTATGTCACCAGTTTTGATGAATACTGTTGTACTATGTGGGTTGGGAGATTAGAATCTAGATGCTTGAAAAAGCCCTTTAAGATTAACATAAAAACAATGTTAATACTAATGAACATTAACAAGTGTATGTATTTATAAGCTATTTAATATCCTTTACACTTTTTGTGAATATAACTCATATAGTAAAAAAATTAAGATTGAATCACTTTTTTACTGATTCTGCAGCTTCTTTAATATGTGTATCTTTACTTGTAACTTTTCTTCCATGAAATATTATATGATCAAAATGTGTTGTGTACAATATTCAAGACTTACTATAAATGTTTGCTTTACTTAAACTTACCAAAATATTGAGGGAGTACAATTACATTTAGAAAAATAATCTTTAAAAGTCATTGCTACATTTTTATATAATGATTTGGTATTCAGTTAATGTAAGCATCCTTGCTAGAGAAATTCTGAGTGCTGTCTTTTTCCCCCTTTAATGGGATTCAGTATAATTGACTTTCATTTTTATTTATTCTTTCTTGGAAGGGAAACATCTGGGAACAGATTTTACGAATACCCTTCATCTTGGAAATAATTAATGCGGTTCCCTTCATTATCTCAGTAAGTCCTAAAAGCATCTTTAAAATAACTAATTTTGTCATTAGACTTAAGTCTTTAAATCTAAATACTAATAAATACTATACTAGCTCCAATAAATGATTTTAGGCTTCGGTAAGGATCATGGTATTAAAAATAAAGAGTAAAATCAGTTGGATAAATAGATTATGGAATTAAATGAAAACTAGTGAGATTTAGTGCAATAGCAAAATAAAATACTTTTTTAGACATATATGCTCTAGATGTGCCATGTGAATAGGTGTTGATATTATCTAGACAGAGTAGAAATTAATCACTCCATTTCTTGTGTATATTGTGAAATTAAAAAAAATAGAAACGAACAAAAAGCAGAATCAGACCTATAAATACAGAGAACTGACGGTTGCCAGAGGGGAGAGAGTGGGGGGTTGGGCAAACTAGGTGAAAGGGAAGGGATACAGGCTTCCAGTTATGGAATGAATGTCATGGGAATAAAAGGCATAGCATAAGGAATACAATTAATGATATAGTAGTGATATCATAGGACAGGTGGTACTACCCTTGTGGATAACATAGCATAATGTATAAACTTGTGAAATCACTAAGTTGTACCCTGAAACTCATAGAACATTGTATGTCACCTATACTCAAATGAAAAAAAATAGAAACCAAGTATTGATAAAAGTTTCTCATACTGAGCATATATTTATTTCTAGCTTAAACACAATATTTACTAAGTCCGATTCTCCCATTAATAAGAAAGTTGCCAACAGCCAGATAATTAGCGATTTGTTTTTTTATCAAGGTACTGTGGAATACCAATTTTACAATGATCCTGCTCAATTGCAGCCCCATAAATATGTAACAAGCACTTTGCCATTGCAAAATTAGGTTTTAATCTCTATCTCATAGATTTATAAAAATGTCTGTTGGGGATATGCTTTCTAACACTTCATTTGAATTTTATTTGGAAAATTATGGAAATAAGCAAATATTATCTCAAGTGGTTGCTTACTTCTGACAATTATTTTAATTTGAATGATTTATCTACAGGAACGACTGGAACTAGATTAAATGACAGGCTAACTACATATAATCCAATTGAATATGGTTCCCAGTGTCACTTAAAATATCTGAAGAGAGTAAGTGGTAATGTTGTGAAAAGGGAAAGCCTTCTCTCCTTATTCCTATGTTCCCTCTCCAGTTGTAGGGAAGAAAGAGGTGATCTCTATTATAAACCGTTACACTGAAAGAATTAATGATAGAATTACCATAGTTATAGGTGACATTAGCGGGAGCTCATTTTTTCCTTTCTGCTTCTACAATAATTTCCCAAAGAATTTTTTCCTAAGTAAGAATTAGAACAATGAATGAAAAGATTGGATCTTCTCCTTGCATTTCATTAATGAGTTTAAAGTATTTGTCACATGTATTAAAAATTATATTGTCTTTATTAACTTTTTTTTTTGTTTTACATGTTAATCTGCTGGATATGATTTTTGCTTTGAGATAAAAGTTTAGTTTTGGTTTGTTTTTCAGATCTTTTGGCCTTCCTTAAGGAATCTATTTGTCCCCGTCTTTCTAAACTGTTGGCTTGCCAAACATGCCTTGGAAAATATGATTGTAAGTACGAAAGAATGAAGTGCCAATACAAAGTATTTTCAACCTTCCATTATTTCTTACATACTTTCAGTGCTTATATTAAACACAGAAAGAAGATGATTTGAGGTCTTAGTCTTGTACTTCCTCATTTTTCTTTCACCCATGAAATATAAACTCATACTATTGTGATTTATTTAGGTATAAATAAATTTCTGAATGGTTCATTTTTAAAAGAGATAAATTTATTTTATTTTAAATTAATAAATTTCTTTTAAATTAATTTAGTATCCCAATAAATAGTTTCATTTAAATATTTGTAATAATGGAAGAGTTTTGGTAGAATACTGTCAAAGCGATGTCAATATTAATATTGACGTTAATAGACCTTAAGTCTGCTTGCATCCTAATTCAGAATGAAAACTTTCTGGGCTAAATTAACTTGACCCTTATTGTCAAGTCACCACCTTTGTAAGGCCCTATGACCTGGTAAACAAAGATAGTTCAGATTTTCTTTTTTTAAAATTAAATTAAATTAAATTTTATTATGTTATGTTAGTCACCATACAATACATCATTAGTTTTTGATGTAGT